CAAATTTGGTGACTGTGAGGGGAGGGTCCCTCTCAGTTGATTACTTTGGCCTATGTTTCTAAATATCTTTACTGTGACTGCTGTTGGTGCATAGAGAGACTTTGGTTGGATTAGAAAAGCCTCTATCTTGCACAACTCTGTCTCCGAGCACATTGCTATCTCTGAAATTGGTCAGGGCAGGCCACTGGGATTTGGGGAGAAGTGGACCTGTCAATGAAAGCAGCATTCTGACAAAGCAAGAATGACACCACCCTTTATTGCTGCCAATTTATCTGAAATTCTGTCAGTCTTTCTGAGTTTTTGGAGACAAGTGCACCAGAGTTAAATTAAATCATTTAATTTCCAGGAGTGATAGGCATATGGACACATTACTCAAATGGATCTGGAATCCCATTTTTTCCAAAAATTCTTTCTTGATTCATTGGATGAGTGGTTATAATGGACATATCTTCATATCAATTGCCAAGAGCACCCCCACTCCCAAATTCATTCTTTTGTCTATGTGTAGAGGAAACGGCTCTTATCAGATGTTACATTAGTTTAATTGGTGACGGTATGCCTGTGATTTAATCTACGTTTCCAGGGAGGTATGGGTTAGATGCCAAGCTCAGTACCTTGAGCAGACAGGAACTGTTGGAGAGAAGGGTGGGGTGAGCTTCTTGAGACCCAACAAAAGCCTGGGAACTGGCTGCCATTATTGTGTTGGCTATCCCAGGGCTCTGAGAGTCTGCCGCAGGCTGTCCTGGCATCTGTGTGGTGTCTGTGTTAACTCCCCCACATGCCTTGGTGCCATGCCAGAGTGTGGGCTGCAGCAGGACAGAGGTCGTTAGGCAAAGCTGGCATTAGCTCCCGAGGGATGCTGGAGAGCCTTGGGAGCCCAGGCAGGTGTCCAGAGGTAGAGCAGGAATCCAGCCAGGCCCAGATGGGCATGTAGGATGTAAAAGTCAGATGAGCAGGTGGGCAGAATCAGAGAAGGCAGAAAAGGTCTGAGGGTTCGTTCTTGACAGCTAAAGCAAATTGAAGGACCAAGATAGCGAGGACAGCAGGGTACAATGGAGAATGCACCCAGCAAGGAAAAGAGACCTAAGTGCTCTCACAGTGCAGCCCTTACGCCAGGATGTGATCTGGGAGCCTGTACTTTCCTTTGCTTCTTTCTCCAGCCTCAATCTCAATTTGTCAAATGAGAGGACTGGTCTAGAGACTCTGCAAAATCCCTCTTGACAATGCTATCTTAGGGGCTTGAGAGTCCATGAATCATCCTTTCAGTCCTGGAGAAGGCCCTAGAGCTCTAGAGTTACCAATTGTTTGTTACTAAAGGGAGGGACCTGGAATTCCAGTGTTTTCCAGCATTTCAAAAATAACAAAATTATATCTGTACCCATAGAAGGACCACAACAGGTTATCACTTAAACTGCAGTTTGATAGCAGAGTTTGGGAGGAAATATAATAAAGGGATATTCTTTGTGGTATAAAGTTTGAGGAACTGATCAAATTTAACCCTGTCATTTTATATATGAAGAAAGTGAGATCCAGAGAGAAAAAATTATTTGCCCAAGGACACCTAGGAAGTTAACGGAACAAGTATCAGAAGATTCTGGTTTTCTAACAACCCAGCTCCGAGCTTTTACCGCCCCAACTTCCTCTCCCCTCCCTGGCTCATGTGCTGGCATCGCTTATAGAGAACAGGACCTGAGCTTTTGAAAAATGTTCTAGTCTTCCTTTCTCTGATAAATAGATTTCGTCTAACAACTTTCCCTTCTAGCCATTCTAAATACCAGTTGGCTTGGAACATGAACTAATCCAGTAGCCCTAGAGAGAATACGTGTTTCCTCTGCTGCTGATGCACTGGGGATGGGAGTATAGGTGTGTATGTTACTGGATTGAGCAGGAAAGTCCTATGTTTCTGGTGGAAAGGGCATAGTTTTTGCAGAGCTTGAAAGGCAGCTATTTGCAGGAATAAGGAGAGGTATGAATTGGAAATGAAGGGGCTTGGCTGTGAACCTGTCTCAACTACAGTGTGACCTTGGGCAAGTGACCTCTCTGGACCTCAGTTTCTTCATTTATAAAATGGAGGAGGTTAGGGGATCCCAACTGTGCACTGAGAAAGCCTTTCAACCCTGACACTTTAAGTATGTGTACTTTGCCCCTTCCTCATGGAGCTATTTCAGTTTCTCCTACATGGGCAAAGGGTCCAGTGAGTTTAGTCCCTGGTTGGGTAGTAAGTCCCAGAAAGACTGGGCCTGTCTATTCCACAAACCATGACCATTTTATTCTAATCTTCCTGAAGATCAGCTTCATTTTATGATGCCTTCTGCTCAAATTCTTGGTGGCTGCATACTGCTTACCAGAAAAATCCATCATTCCTTTGCCTGGCATCTGAACTTCCAAGACTTGGCCAGCTTCATGCCTTGCCATTACTTAGAGATGCAGGTGTGGAAAGTTAGAGACCCCATTTTCAATCCCAGCTTCACCTTGCAGTTCTGTGACTTTAGGCAAGTTTTTTAACCTCTCTGCCCCATATGTAAAATGAAGGTGTTAAATTAGCTAGTTCATCAATTTGATTTGAGAATTGAATGAAACATCATTAAAATTGAGAAAGGTAATTGAATTTTAGCTCACTCTCTTTTCCTTCCCCAACTAATGCATATCATATCCTTGGGAATAGGAATTGTACACTTCTTTTATATCCTCACAATGCTTAACATAAAGTCCTCCACAGAGCAAATGCTCAATAAATATTTGATGGGTTGATGTTTTGTCTCTTTCAGAAGTTATCTGAGATAAGCTGAAACATTTGCTTTTCTTTTGCAGTTTGCCCAGCTGGTCGCCATCTACAGGACACTGGGAGGAGAAAAGTTCCCCCTCATTGAACAGACATACTACCCCAACCACAAAGAGATGGTAGGTGGCTCAGTGGGGACATTAGTCTTTCTGCTGTTTTCACTTTGCACTTAGCCACCTGGTCACTGTGGGGCTCTGACAAGGGCCTCAGCGTCTCAACCCCGAAGACTCCACTGGGGTGGAACTATAGAACTTGTGCAACTGGAATAGCTAGATTTTAGCCTCTTGTCAAATTCTAGAGATAGAATAGGGAAGAAAAGGAGTAAGGGCACTTTAATCAAGCTGAGAGAATAATAAACTTCTGGACCAGCAATCAGATCTCATTGCTTTGAGTCCCAGCCCTGGCTCTGCCAGTTGTCATTGAATAAGCTACATTTCCTCAATGTGTGCAATTTCCAATAAGACAGTCAAGAGAGCATAATTATCCCTACGCAGGATATTCTAATATGGTACATACACAATTAAAGTGAGATTCATTAAGTAATAACCGCTGGGAGAGTGTGTAGCACTAGATGTAAGGCATTGCTCCTACTCTTATTATTCCCCTGACTCTCCCATTCACCTGACCTCCATAAGGCTGAAGTTAACACTGTGCCTTCTCTGAGGCCAACATAGGAAGTTAGAAGGAGCAGAGAGATGGGCTGGTTGGTTGGTAAGGAGGCTATTGCCAGTGTTTTTCCTCTGCAAGGACCTGGAGCTCAAAATCCTTTCTTCCCTGTCCCCACACCCTCTGCCCCGCACTGGTGTGATCAGTTGGTGATCTTGCTCAACCCACCAATGGAGACTCCCTGCAAAGCATTCCAAGTGAAACAGAGATCATGTTTGTCCCCAGCTCCCCACTTCCTTGGTCAAAAGGGGTCTCCATTTGCACCATTTCTGCAGATCAAGAGCCATCTTCTGAAACACTGTGCATGGCCCTGCTCACCAGCAGACCACATAATAAAAAACAATCTTGGGCCTTAAAAAGAGCTGTCTCTGTCATCTTTGCCAGAGCTTCCCCCAAGAGAGACTCTGAAACTTCAAGCTCTTGTCCTTAATAAATTCTAGAGGCAAATATTAGGACTTTTCCTTTCAGGGTAAGCCAGGAAGCCTCCCAAAGGCTGAGAAGCCCTAAGGGTCCTTTGGTTGGGGAATCTCAGGGAGCCCAAGACATAGTGGTGAGGACTGAGCTGAAGGGTGCATGGTGCTCTCTGAGGATGAAAGCTGACTTTTTCCTGCTGTAGCACCTAGCAGGGCTGGCTGCTGGAAAAAAACTGCCGCAATTGCCAGGTACATTCCCTATCTACCGTCCTTTCCCCTCAAGGGCCTTTGTATTATTTCTCTCCAGTGCTCTATCCTGAAATTTGCCCTCAAGACAGGACCACCACTCTGTGGTGTCAAAAACCAATGATGAGTGATTTCAACTCTATAAGAAAAAGGCTTTGTGGCTTTTAAAAAGTTCTGAAATAGGAATGAAGATGTTAGTAATCTAAGAGACAGAAGAGAAGCCTTGTGGACATCAGTTGAGGGTATTAAGAATACTTAACCTGGAGAGGCAGTACCTATTCTGAGACTATAAGTGCATTCTTATTCAAAGAGGTATGCTAACCAGGCAGGGACGCTCTGCCAGAAATGGTATAGAGGGGATAATAGCATGGGGAGGCAGGTTAGGCCATTCTAGCTCTCACATTGAGTGGTTCTGTGTCCCTCAAATGACTCCCCCAACAGATGAAAGTGTATCAGAAGAATAGGATGAGTTCAGACAGGGGAAGTAGTGGATACACAACCACAGTATGTTGTTCTTTTCATTCTTGCCAGTCAGCCTGTTTATGATGCTGTCAACCCACCTTCTGGTACTATATATCATCAAGGATATACCATCTCATATGTATGGCATTCACCATTTCTCCCTTAACAGATTGATAAAGGCAAAAGAAAACACATTTTTCCTGGAGAGGAAAGTGAATAGTCCTGGCTTTAGAAAAAGTAAGCCAGAAGAAACACTTGCAGTAACAGGTATAAGGCTAGACTAATGGGGTTTGGGAGGCAGGGGTGACAGGCAGAGGGCAGGGCAGAAAAGTCATGCTACCTTCCCTAGCCCTTGACAGGTTCTAGGCCAGGGTCCTGGAAACGAGCTATAACATGCCTGCCCCTTCCCTCCCCTGACAGTGACCAGACGGTCCACTTGGCACTTTGTATTAGCTGGCAGCAAGGGGTGAGGTGGTGATGGCCAAAGCTCCACAGGAACAGAGAACTGGCTTGATCTTCAGGACTCTTGAAGGGATGTAGTAGTCACTGGTCCCTACTAGGGCTGGATGATGTCAACAAACTCCTTCCTTAGAAGCAGGTGGCCCCGGTACCAGCTGCAGGTGCCATCAACATGCTTCATACAGACATAATGCTGAGCCTGGTACCCATAGAGCTTTTGTTCCAACAGCCAGTCTGTCCAGAGGCATTCGTTAGGGGCTGAGATGGTACAGGGCACTGTATAGCAGGTGGTGATCTAGAGTCATGGCCACACAACATCAAAGTCAGTAGGGTGTCCTCCTTTTTCCATTGCTGCCTTTCAAACTGCTATACACCCTTGCAGCCCATCTCAAATGTCCCCTGTCATATGAAGCCTTTCCTGGTCCCCAGTCTTCCTCTGAATTCTCCTTCACCAAGGTTCCCCATATTCAATATTGCCACTTAATGCCATCTCTGGAGTCAGACAGCTCTGAGGGTCCTTACTCTACCACTGACCTTGAGCAAATCACTTCACTTCCCAGAGCTTTCATTTCTTCACCTTAAAATGGAAATCTTAATTCTTCATAAATATGTTTTGGAGACTAAATTAAACATTTACAATAAATTTACTATTACAGTGGCTGACAAAGAATAGACTCTCTTTAAAGGGTGGCTGTATTACAGTTATCTCAGTCTGCCTCCCGTGATGGCCACCTTCCCAGCCAAAGTGCAAGTACTTTGAGATCAGGGCCTATAGCCTGTGTTGCTTTCTCATCCCCAACTTCATGCAGTGCCTTATCCATGGCAGATCTCAAGTATAGTCCAGTAAGTGAATAAATTCATGCATGAATGAAGGCCCAGGACCCTTCCCCTATCCCCAAAGACTTTGGAAATGGATATTCCCTTACTTGGCAGGCACAGTTCAAATGGTAGTGATGATTCAGACTTTCCCTCTGCACCAAGGACAGGTCCTCCCAGGGCTCGATGTAGTTGCACAGATGGATGAAGACTTTTCCATCACTGAGGACCTGACCTTTGAGGGAAGATGGAGGAGAGTCAAGCATCAGAATTCTGCTCCTGGAGCTCCAGTGGCCCAGGTCCTTGAAGAGCCCAGAATTGCAGCCTCTCTAATGACTTTTTGGTGGCAGTGGTGGCATGGGGCTTAATGAAGGAATCAAAAAATAAAAATCACTGTAATCTTTGTAGCTAAAAGACAAACAGATTATGTTTGTACGAGGCAGAGTTGTGAGATCTGGTGAAGGCCTTTTCGTTTAGCATGGTACAGAGAGAAGAATGTGGGCTTTAAAGTCAGAGTCTGGGTGGGAACCCCTTCTTTCTTCTCTGTCATTTACTAGCTGAATGATCTTAAGAAAGTTGTATAACCTCTCAGCTGGAAGATGAAAATAATAAAGTCACATTAAATGAGAGAATGTCTATAAAGTTCCCAGCACAGTTGTGGGCCCACAGAAGATACTGAATAAATAATGGGCTCCTTCCCCTTTCCAGTCCTTCCCAGTATCTGCACAGGCCAGTCTCCTGCTCTAGGTTGGTGAGTCTTTCCCCTTCCCCATAGGAAAGTTCACCCTTTTTACCTGTGAAACTACTTTTCACCTTTCAAAGACTCTTTTCAGTACCACCACAAAGCCATCCCTGACCACCTGGCCCATACCTCTTTTAGAACCTCAGCCACTCAATCGTTTACTCACTGAAGCAACTACCTATGATCTAGTACCAGGAATACAGATATAAAAATGACAGGATCTCTGCTCCCAAGGAGCTTACAAATTAATAGGGTAGATAGATGAGTAGAAGAAAATTATACTATTGTGTGGTTCTATACAAAGTATGGTATAAGAACAAAGGAACATACAATTATTTCCATCTGTGGAAGGGGTGTGGGGCAAGGAAGGTATCTCAGAGGAGATTATGCTTGCATTGAGCCTTGATGGGATGCGTAGGCGTTCACTTGCCAAACAGGTTGGGGGAAGGGCTTCCTGTCATCGGGACTATCCTATGCAAAGCAGGGGGACACAGCCTGGCAGCATACCTTCTGCAACTGCAGGTAGTTGAGTTCACATCTTGGGAAAATGACGGACTGGGAACTGGCATTGACAAATGGCAGAAGACAAAGCTATAGAGGGCAGCAGTGTTTTGGTCACAAAGAGCTTTCAACACCAGGCAAAGGAGCTTGTGCCTTCTCCTGAAGGGCCTGGGTGCCATTGATGACTTTTCTGTAGACTTGTTTTTTTGTTATTTATCCCAAACCTCAGTTAGACTTGACCTCCCTGAAGGCAGAAAATGTGTTTCCTATTTCTCCTGATGTACCTCCGTGCCTAGCAGTGGGCGAGACACACAGAGGGTAGGTGTTTAGGAAGGAGGTAGGATAACAGTTTGAAAGGGCCTGGTCTACCAGACCTAGGAACTGCAGGGCTCAGTGGTGTGGTGTGTCCTTCTCTGCCTCTCCCATCCAGGAGTTCCTCAGTTCTGCACAATTTTCTCATCCTCAGAGCTGGGAAGCCTCCAGTGCCTATGACTCATCAAGAGCCATGTCTGAACAGTGAACTCTTTTGAGGACTTTGACTTGTTATGGAATCTCCACTCTCCTCACCAAGGCATGGCAGTGACTAAGTGGTCATTCATTGCCAAATGTGTGGATAAATAGTGGAATCCCTTCACCTATTCTCTCGCCCACTGCTGTGCTTTTTCTTTCCTTGCTTTCTTTCTAAATACTGTTTTATCTTTTCGAGGCAGTTTAGATCCCACTTATACAATGAAGCTTTCCTGATAGTTCTCAACTACCAAATAGTTCCTTTCCCTGAACTCCAAAATAATTTAGTATTGCTTTCATTTATAGAGTCACATTCTTGTGTGATTCTTTAACTGTTCTAACCCAACCAATTCAGTAATAAGGAAAGTTCACAGAGACAGAACTGTGTTGGACTTGAGCTCATGTTAGGTTCTGTGCAGAGGGCAGAGCTGACCTGCAAGGAGCAGTTTTGGAAAGGAGATTTTGACTCAAGTTGCCAAAAATCTTATACTATTTTAAACTATTTGAAAATGGAATCAGCTGCCCTACAGTGGGTAAGCAACCTGTCCTTAAAATAGTGAAACAATTGGCCAGGATGACTGTCATGAGAACTCTTACATTTAAAGGGAGGTTACAAGTCTTCTCCCTACTCTGTTTTATGCCCAAGAAAATGCCACCTGGCTCAGCCTGCTGCCCAAGGAAGACCCTGGCTCCTTTCTCACTCCCTCCTATAGGGCAGAATCTATTATGTTAAGGCCAGTTGCTGTCCTTTAACTTACCAGTCAAGAGATACTGCTTCTGGCTGTTGGCCTCTAGTTTCACACCACAAAGGGAAGAGTCAAAAGGCGTATAGATATACTGAACATCCTTGACTTTCTCAAACCCTTTGAACATCTGATAATTACGAAAAAAAAGCAATATTGGGTCAGCGAGTGTACTTTGTATATTAACAGGCAAAAACTTCTCATTTCTCAGCCTAAAAATTTAAGCAAAAGTCTAGTTCAAAATTTTGTGTATACAGATGGCCCTACTAGATTATTTTCTCTCTTAAAAAAATAAAACAAAACAAAAAACTAAACCTTGGTTTATTCCAGTAGGTACCTGTAGTGGCTCCATGCACCAGCAGCTGTGGGACCAGATGGACTCCGAGGCCCTCCCTGCAATATCCCTGGGATTCTATGGGCCCTGCCTCCAAATCTCATTCAGTTCCACTTCAGCATCTAAACCCAAGGATCACTGAGCCAGGCCACCTGAAAGCTACCCGCCCTCCCAGAATATAGACCCCACTTCCTCCAACAGCCCTAGGGGCTACACATCCCAGCCTGCCCCCATGTACCTTTATCTGTTTGATTTCATACCGGAGCATTTTTTCAGTGTCAGCAGGGTCTGCACTGGCAGGAACTACCTTCTCACTGGAGATTTTGGCCCGAATCACTGCATAGGAAGGGAAAAGAGGGAACCTTTAGCAGCTGGTGGGGGCAATATACCTGAGGTCTGGATGATCCAGGGTTCCTGAAGAAGTATACAGGGCAATTCTTGGTTTTGGTGTTGTCAGGTTGTAAGCACGTGATGTGTGAGAAGGGGGTCCTGGAAATGCCTCCTCTGCAGTCACTTTAAGTTCCAAACCCCTCGGGCTTATTAGGTCCTATAGCTCTTTGTGCCTTTTGAACCAGTTAGTCTGGAGAGGTCTAGTTCTTCATAGCCGTGTGTGCAGTGGGGCACAGGGTAGGAGTCAGAGTAGAGGAGGGAAGTGGAGCCCCTTTAGGGTAGTTGGTGTGAAGTTTATTGCTGTGGTCAAGGCCTCTCAGCCTGCCTACATTTGATATTAGTAAATGTTTATTGAATTCATAAGTGTTCTGACGCAGCACTGAGGTGTTGCATCTCTTCCATTTGAACATTAATAACCAAAAACTGTTGATGAAGCTCTTCCTCTGTGCGTGGCCTTGCATTAGGCACTAGGACCATAGATGTGGTTAAGACAGGGTCCCCATCCTGCAGAGCTCTTGATCTAGTGGAGGGCACACTTCTAAAGAATAATAGCACAGCATAGTAGGAACACCAAGACATTAGAGATGCTGAGGCGGCACCAAGGAGCCAGGAGCCTGCAGAGAAGGAGAGAGACCTAAGTTAGACCTTGAAGGAAGAGTAGGAGTTTGCCAGGAATTTAAGGGTATGAGGGAGGGCATTCCAGGCAGAGAGAAGAGAAAGGACAGAAGGTGTGAGTTGCAGTGGGGGCTTGGTGGCAACCTAAGTTATAGGCCTGGACAGACATGGGTGGTTATAATGCAAGCCCTCTCCCCTCCCCTGTCCGCAATCCAGTAGTTCAGAGTAATCATCAGATAGCTCCGGTGACACCTTGTTCAGTGATACTCTGTAACTGCTATATGGCCAGAGTGAGGGAGGTTGCTGTAGAAGCCCCAGACACAATCTTCATTTCCTTATGAATCAGTCAGGTTCTGTGCTTGCAAGGTTACTATGGCGCCTGGTCCTTCCTGACCCATCAGCCTCAGCAAGAGGCAACCAGTGCAAAATTCGAGCTCCTCCCTTTTCCTCTGGACTCCTGGTCTACAGCTGGCAAGATACCAATCCCCCACAGCCACCCCCTGCTGTGGACCTCACAGACCTCGGACTCACCCAGTGCTGAGTGGCAGATGTGCTGCTGAGGGTGTGCAGGGGCGCAGCTGCACGCCTCGCCCAGCCCAGGGGGCCGCAGCAACGCCAGCAGCCGCAGCAACAGCGCCCAGCTCGGCGCGGGCCGGGGGCTCCCGGGCATGACAGTGCAGAGCCCCAGCTGAGCCTGTGAGGTCTGTCAGACCGTACAGCCCCAACAGGGCTCCTTCCTAACGTGTTGCGTCCCCCGCCCCAGGCTTTATGAGGTGGCCCTAAGGGCCAATCCCGCCCCGATGGGCTCCGCCTTCCTTTGGCTGTAGGCCGCCGCGGCAGCAGGACCCGAGGCTCTTCCGACTTGCATAGTCAGTAAGATGCAGAGGGAAGCCGGGAAAGAGGCCTGGGCCTCTGTTTTCCTGCCTAAGTCATGAAGCCGTCTGGAAGTAGAGGGAAAGCACTGGAAGAGGGTATGGTGTCAAGGGCAGAAAGAGCCACAAAGATAAATGCATAAGAACAGAAAGACTGAGGGCTGTGATTCAGGCAGAAAGAACAAGAATAAGAAGAGGCACGGACAGAAAGAGTGAGACAGGCAGAGTCCCAGAGAGGCAGACAGAATTACAACAGGCAAAAGAGACAGTGACAGAGAAGGACGGACCCCTTGCTGAGCTGCACGCTGGGAATGAGACAAGCTACTCAGGGCTTCTTTCAGCCGCAGGAAGTGCTTTCAATGCCCTATTTATGAGGCTCCAAAGCAACAGCAAACAGTAATGGAACAGGACAGAGAAAGTTGGGGTGTGTGTGTCTTGGCTCTGTTGCCTGGGGGGATGGGGAGAGATGTCAAAGAAGCAGCCAGTGCTTTAGAAACCCTTTCTCACTCCCAGAGCCACAGACTCTCCAGATAGCTGGGGACAGCACTCTTGGAATGGATACAAAACATAAGGTGTCCTATCACTTAGGGCAAATCTTGGACCTCAAAGCCCTCTCGAGGCCCTAGGCTACGCTGATTTTTATTGCATGTCTCAGCTAGGTGACTCACACCTGTAATTCCAGCACTTTGGGAGGCCAAGGTGGGTGGATCACCTGAGGTCAGGAGTTCAGGCACAACCTGGCCAACATGGTGAAACTCCATCTCTACTAAAAATAAAAAAATTAGCTGGGCATGGTGGCAGGTACCTGTAATCCCAGCTACTCTGGAGGCTGAGGCAGGAGAATTGCTTGAACCTAGGAGGCAGAGGTTGCAGTGAGCTGAGATTGCACCACTGCACAACAGTCTGAGCAGCAGAGTGAGACTCCATCTCAAAAACAAAACAAAACAAAGAAGCAGGGGACTTGGGGGTGACTGTGACCAGAGAGAGCCTTGTCTGCTGTTTGACAGAGCATAGTGTTCCAAGCCTCCAAATCCCAAATCTCCATGGGATTATTGCTATGGGATGTTTCCACATGGTGCTGGACTGGATAGTGGGAGGCTGGGTTCTAATTCTGGCTGTCACTAAGCTTTGTGGCTTTTGCCTCTCTGGGCCTCAGTTTCTTCTCCATAAAGTAGAGTTGAACTGTATGATTTCTAAAGCCCTTTGAAGTTGTTTTTCCAAGCCTTGACTGACCTCAACCAGGAATGCTGAAATCCTTGGGCCAGATATCCCAGTATCTGTTCAAATCTTAGTTCCCACAGGAATCTGGCTTTTCATTTGGGTCAACATTATTTCCTTCAAGGGTACCTTTTCATTTTGATGGTGTTAGTGATGTTTGAAAAGAAGGGAATTGAAAGAGAGCTGAGTCTGATTGAAAGATGAAATGTCCAGGTTGGCATCCAGGCTGGTTCTTTATACAATGTCCAGACCAAGATAGAGGCTGATGTACCATTTGAAGGGAGCTCAGAAAGCATCCCATCTGTTCTCTTCAATGGACAGATGTGAAGGCTGAGTCTCAGGGAAATACAGTGACTTGTAGAAAGTTTACGGCAGAGAGGACTAGAGTACTCATCTTCTGACATCTAGCCTAGTGCTTCTTCCACTTCCACAATATTACTTCTTCCATCACCATTTTGTAACAGTTTGAAATCTTGCCCTTAGAGGATAATTCTTTTAAGTTTTTGTTTCTCCTCTGTTAAAGTATGGCTACCTCAAGGTAGAGTTTGCTCCCCTAAGGATCTCTCTCTGTTTATAAACATACTGAATTATTCCGTCAGCTCTATTTCAAACCCCAAGCTGGGCAGAATTGGGCCTTCACATGCAAAGCCTTATTTGATGGTGAGTTTGTGGTATTGGTGAGCAGTGAAGAGTGTGAAAGAGGGAGAAAACAGCCAGGATCATTACAGGAATGCTGGGCCTTTGAAGGTTTTAGGACCAAGAGGTACATGATGACGGGGACATTAAGATGCCAAAGATGCATTTCTAAAATATAATGCAGGTTTATTAAGGTACATCTACATATAATAAAATTCAGGCTTTCGAAGATACTTTCTTTTTTAAAATTCTCTTTGTCTGAGGGCCAGTCCTGCCCAGGTTCTGTCTAACGCAGAGAAGATTGACAGTTGCATTTTAAAGATGTAGGGTACACCAAATAAGAGAACAGCGTTCTTTTAGCTCTGCCACTAATATGCTGTGTGACCTTGGAAAATCACTGTCATTCCATGGGTCTCAGTTTTTTAATCTGTAAAGCAAGTAAATTGGACTAGTTATTTAAAGAACCCTCCCAAGGGTATTTCCAAGAAAAATATTTGTGGGATTCCACAGAGAGATGGGCACACTCTGACAGTTGATTCCTTTCTCCTCTGCTTTCAGCTGACACTGCCCACGTTCCCTGTGGTGGTGAAGATTGGCCACGCTCACTCAGGCATGGGCAAGGTGAGGCAGAGGGGCCTGCTGTATTTCAGGGTTGAACCAAGAAGGGCAGTTTTCAGAGTGACTGTTTGTGAACTGCTCTTCTCCCTCTGTCACTGATGAATTCTTTCCAAAGAGAAGATGATTTGCCACCTCTAAAGCCATGAGTGTCACCCAACCAGACCTCTTTCAGGAAGCAGAATGCAAGCCACCTGCCTGGTCCTCTGGGTCCTTTGCGGCAAGTGTGGCCCCTGAGTTCTGGGAAGGGAAGCTAGGGAGAAGGGGCCTTCTGGGGAGATGTGGCACCCAGATTAGTGTCTGGATTGGATATATTTTGGTAGGTTTGGAGGCTCAGGGCCATTATAACTTCTCAGTGTGTGCGTATGTGTGTGTGTGTTTGTCTCCTTTTCCCCCTTTCTGCCTTGCTCCAACATTAGGTCAAAGTGGAAAACCACTACGACTTCCAGGACATTGCCAGTGTGGTGGCTCTCACCCAGACCTATGCCACTGCAGAGCCTTTCATTGACTCCAAGTATGACATTCGGGTCCAGAAGATTGGCAACAACTACAAGGCTTACATGTGAGTAAGCGTGGGGTATGCTTTCTCCACAGTGGAAAATTTGAGCCTCCATGTAGCAACCGACTCTCAGTTTAACCTCCTCTGGTCCACAGGCAGATAACAGAGAGATGATCTTACACAGGGATTCTTAATGAGGGTTCCTTTTAAGTCAGAGAAGGGGTCTGTGAACTAAGATGAGAAAATATATTAATATTCATTTCCACTTGCCTGTAAGAGAAATTTAGCTTTCTCTTCATTTTGAGCAGAGACAACAGACTACAGTAGTTGTCTGTACATAGGACTTTATCACTAAAGGTGATTACTGATATTCCTATATCTTACTATAGTTGAGACAGATATATCTAAATATGAATTATTCTCATTCCTACTTTAAAATCATGATAGTCATTAGGACTTGCCACTACCTCCTGTTATTTAGAAAGAAACATATATTGGCTGGCTGCGGTAGCTCACACCTGTAATCACAGCACTATGGGAGGCTGAGGTGGGGGGATTAAGAGGTCAGGAGATCAAGATAATCCTGGCCAACATGGTGAAACCCCATGTCTACTAAAAATACAAAAAACTAGCCAGGCGTGATGGCGTGTGCCTGTAGTCCCAGCTACTTGGGAGATTGAGGCAGGAAAATTGCTTGAACCCAAGAGGCAGAGCCTGCAGTGAGCTGAGATTGCACCATTGCACTCCAGCCTGGGTGACAAGAGCGAAACTCCATCTCAAAAAAAAAAAAAAAGAAGAAGAAGAAAAGAAAAGAAACATATGTTTTCCTAATCACAGATTTTTTTGTTTAATATTTTTGGTAACTCTAATTGGGTACTCTGGGATCTCATGTACTCTGTCTTACACAGTTACACATCTTATATATTGTATACATTGGAAGGAATCCATAGGCTTCCCCAGACTGCCAGAGCACAAAGTTAAAAAGTTCCTGATGTAAATATCCAGCCCTGAAAATGCTACAGGGCCTTAAAAGCCCAGTACATGACTTCTCTACATAACTGTGTCCATTTGCCAGGATGGAAAATTAAAGATTTCCTCCATTTGAATTTAGTAAAAGAAAAACATTTAAAAATTACCTGACTTTCCATAATATGTATAAAATGCAGGTGGCTTATAATTCCAATTTGGGAAATAGTAATCCCCCACTTTAAAAGTTTATAGCGGTGTTTTCTTTACAAAGAAAGAACATTATTAATATGTGGATTTGATCTTGGTCACTCAGGACTTTTGCAGACTTCAAGATTGAGCAGCCTTCCCTTTCCCTTCCCCACCTGTGTCTGTTTTTCTTCTCTTACCCCTCTTTTCACTACTTATACTCCCCACCCCTGGAGTGAGTTTGGCCCCCTCCCTGCACTCCTATCCCATACTACCCTTCACACACCTCTTGTTTAGCCCTTGTCACATGTGTTTTGTGTCACCCTCCTCCAGACTCTGAGCTCCTTGTGGACAAGAATGATGGAATCAGTTCTGCATCTCCACTGCCTTGTATAGCAGCAAGAACATTAATAGGCACCCAATAAGTATTCAGAGAAGAAGAACCCTTATGGAAAACTGAGGCATAGAATTTTTTTTACCTTTATTGTCTAGATTTGTACTTTTTTAGTTTTCAATTTTATATTTATAGTATTCCTGCTTCCAGAAAATAATTTAGGATTTCTTTAGAAATATGCACAATGTAGCCAGGTGTGGTGGCTCACATGTGTAATCCCAGCACTGTAGGAGGCTGAGGCAGGAAGATCGCTTGAGCCCAGGAGTTAAAGACCAACCTGGGCAACATGGTGAGACCCCATCTTTGCAAAAAAAAAAAAAAATACAAAACTTAGCTGCATCTAGGGGTGCTTGCCTGTAGTCCAGCTACTCAGGAATCTGA